TTGTGTTGTGTCGTTGTATTTGTTGCGGCGTTTGCATTAAAATCGAGTCCCGCGGTCACTTCCGTTGTGGCTTTTTTTTTGTTTGTGTCTTTTTGTTGTGTGTGTCTTTTTAATGTGTGGCTTTTTAATGTGTTGTGGCTTTTTAATGTGTTGTGGCTTTTTAATGTGTTGTGGCATTTGCGTTCGTGTTGTGGCGTTTGTATTTGTTGCGGCGTTTGCATTAAAATCGAGTCCCGCGGTCATTTCCGTTATGGCTTTTTTTTGGTGTGTTGTGGCTTTTTTTTGGGTGTTGTGGCTTTTTTTTGTGTGTTGCGGCGTTTGCGTTTGTTGTGACCCCTCTCGGTTTCCGTACATTTCCCTTGTGCATCAATAAAGTTTGTCTGAGTCTAAGTTTTGAGAGAATTCTGCTGGTTAAACGTGTGTTTTTGTGTCGCCGCAGTGAGAATGAAGCTTTTCGACAGAGGAAGCAGCAGAACATGTGAGGAGATGTGGGGGAGAAAGTTTTACACGGCCTGATAATAATGCACCATGAAGTGATTCCATTTTGTAATTACTGTATTGAATTTGCACTACATGTGTTTTGTGTTATTGTATGTCTTTACAAGATTCATTTAAACTCATATATTTTTTAATACATATTTTTGCTTGAAAAACTTGCTTAAATTAGGGTCCATTGTCCAGACACTGAAGCTCACTGTCTGCACTGTCCACATGTATTTGTTCTCATCTTAAATACCTTTTTAAAATCTCTCTATTTACGACCATAAACGAAAAACAAAAAATCCTTACATCCTTTCATTTCTCATTGTTGTTTGTTTCGCACGATCATAAATGATAAACTTTGTCCCTTTTTTAACATTTATTATTAGTTTGCACGACCGTAATCGGGGGAAAAAATTAAATAAATAAATTTGATTTAATTTAAAAAAATATATAATAAATAAACAAATAAATAAAATAAAATAAGAATGAGAAAGAAAGAAATTTCTGGTAGAGATTTTGGTTTGTAAAATATTCGCTGCAATGACTTTAAACAGTTCAACACTGTAGAAACTTTTTAAAAAGAGAATAGACTGTTGTGTTTTGGAAAATCTGGAGCTCTGGAGTTGATGAATTGTGCGTTGAGTTTTGTTTGTTTTAATTTATATTGTTTATTTATTTGTACAGTGAGTGAAGTTGTGAATGAAAACTTGTTGTGCATGTGTTTGGTTCAGACTCTTCCTGTCATGACCCCTGTAGTCATGGTTTATGTTTTGTTTTTGTTTGCAGCAAATGATCCAATAAAAACAACAAAAAAACAACTACAAAAAAACCTCTATTTGCTTTGTTTACGTAGCCTTTTAACGACACTATGAACTACTATTTCTTTCTTTCCAATACTGTATCAGTGGAAGTATAATGATAATGTGTCATAATTAACATTATTTTACAGAAAAGGAGCCTCATTTTACATGTCAGCCGTTTTGTGACATGTGCAGGACTCGGCTCCAGGGTCGACTTAGCTCTGGTTCCTTATTCACAAATGTTGGTCCTAGGGATGTTAATAATCTGGCAAAGTTTCATACTTGTACCATAAAAGACAGTTGGGCAATTTTCTGGTCCTTAACAGCTCCACTATACGGTTGATAATAATTAATTCAAGTTTCACAATAAAGCAGCAGCTCGTGAATGATCACACTGACCTCAATCTCATTTATTACCATGAACTTGATGTTAGAAAACAGACAAAAACATAAATGATCATCTTAACATTATCATAAAAAGACAAGAGTGAAGAACTTTTTTAACAGTTAAACAGAGTTGGAGCAGAGGCCTGTCTCACATGTTCATGTTTTAAACCCAAAAATGGACAAACTGGGAAAATGACCATGAACGTTTTTGCAAAAAAATATAAATAAAAAGATCTTAACTGTGTTTTAGTCAAATGAGTAGACCGACCTGTCACAGGCAATTTAACTGAAACTGACTATTATTACTGGTCCCATGTCAGTGTTTTGGTGTTTTTGTGACTGGTCCAGTTGAAATTTGCATTAGTTTGATTTCAGATTTCAAGAACAGTGCCCTTTAGACCTACACTTTGTACTTATTTTCAGGCTGGAAGTTTTACAATTATATAGTTTTATTATGACATGATACAGACCTTTGGACTTGGACATTGGCTAATACCAAACGGTAATTTCCTTCACTCGTGACGGACACACGATGTTTCTCTCGCAGGTGAGAACTGTTTTACTTAAATTAACTTATACGTATTTTATGTGACAATGTTCAGCACATCTCAAAATGAGTTCTTTCTGTTTTGTGTTAAAGTACAAGATTATTTTCATTTGAATATTCAGTCACAGATGTTTTTCCTGTCGGCTCTTCTGGATCTGGAGACAGTTTTAATTCAAAAATTTCTGTCTTTTGTTGTTGTGTGGACCCCCTCCAAAACGAGATGGCAAGACATCTCAAGCGGCTTATCCTCCAAATAAATAAATTCTAAATTCTCTTTATTATAAACTTAAAAGTGCATTTGACAGATTCATTTGTGTTTCCTTGGTTTGGTGGATCATCCATGTGCAGTATTTATCATAGTTTTACATCAGTGAAGTGGGGGTTTGTGGAAAAAATAAAAAGTAGTGCTGAGTTTAAAACAGAATCTCTCTGCTTTATCTGCTCCAGCTCCATCCAAAATGCAGAGACAATTTACGCACAAGGAATGACTTTTTCTGACAGATTAAACCTTCATTTAACAAAATGAAGGTATTAGTCTACGCTAAGATGACGTCACTAATGACTGAATTACAACATTTACACTTCCACATAATCCTAAATACATGTAAATGTGGAACTAAACTGATTGGGTGTGATTCTGCTGTTGGTCTGTAGGTGGCGCTGGATGGGTCCTAGAGGGGGTCTCCACGGGGTT